CAACTAAGAGCTGAGGTGACCTACGGAAGGGCTTTGTCCTCTCTAAATAAAAGGCTAAAGCCCTCCTGACATCCAAGCCTGTTCCTTACCCAACGTGTGGGGCTTGGGGTAAAAGACTGATAGGAAAATGTCCTGTGATACATGGAAGTTAGAAAACACCTTCAGGAGGAAAGTGGGGTGGGGGCGCAATTTGACCTTGTCCTTAAAGAAAACTATACGGAGGGTCTGAGGTAAGGACCCTCTGGCCAACTTGATAGCCACCAGAAGGGATACCTTATAGGACAGGTGCAGCAATAAGCACGTCACCAGAGGTTCAAAGGGAGGTCCCACACGCCTAGACAGGATCAGACTGAGGTCTCACGGGGGGGACAGGCTGGCAAACATGCGGGTAGAGCCTGTCAAAAAATTGCTCACAATTGGTTGGAAAGCAGAGACAGCCGCCAGGTGAATCTTAATTGAGGAGGAGGACAACCCCTAAGATCCAGAAGCAGTCTAGGATCAGGGGGACCAGTGCACTCATGGGTGCTAGTCCCCTTTGGGTAGTCCAGACAGACTCTCTTCCACTTGGCCAGATACGCAGCCCTAGTGGAGAGTTTCCTACTCCCCAATAGTACCTCCTGCACACGAGCTGCACAATGGAGCTCCTGCCGCTGTCAGCCACAGAGCTTCCACGCTATGAGGTGCAGGGGTTGCAAGTCTGGGTGGCGAAGCCTGCCAAAGTCCTGCATGATCAGGTTGGGGGGACCAGTGGGAGCGCAAGGCAACCAGCCTCTCACATGACAGGTTCAGAAGGGTCGAGAACCAATTCTGACTGGACCATGCGGGCGCAATGAGGATCAGGGACACCCTGAATTCCTGCACACGCAGGAGCACCTGGTTAACCAGCGGGAATGTGTAAACCCCCAGGCCAGGGAATGAGCAACGCATCTCCCAGAGAGCCCTTCTCCAGCCCCATGAGACAACAGAACCTCGAGCACTTCCTGTCCTGGCATGTGGCAAACAGGTCCAGAAAGGAACGCCCCCACCTGAGGAAGATCCAGAGGGCCACATCCTCTCTGAGGGACTACTCATGGCCAGAGAAGGACCTGCCTCGCCAGTCTGCCAGAATGTTCTGGGAACCCGGGAGATGGGGCGGATATTCACCCGATTGCTTCCTAACGCAGAGATTCCACAGATGAAGGGCCTCCTGACACGTGAGAGGAGCGAGCGGGCCCCGCCCTCCTGTTAATATATGAGACCACCGATGTGTTGTCAGACAGGATGAGGAACGACTTGCCCCCTGAGCTGAGGGAGGAAGGCAATTAGAGGCCTACGAGAGCTGAGATCCTCCAATATCTGTGGAGGCACCGGTAAACACTGGCAGTGACCTGCTAGGGATTAATCCTGTGGATGGGATCTGGGCCAGCAGCCAGAATTTGCCCACACTTGGTCTAGAAGACAATACTTAGCCCTGCCCAAAATGCAGGGGACTGGACTAAATGACTTCTCAAGGTTCTTTCAGTCCTATGATTCTGTAAGAGTATGCACTGTTTACTAGTTGCTCTTTTTCACAACTGATTTTTTACTAGGTTACTCAACAGTTACACTTTGCACACAACTATTCATACTGCTAGCTGACTTTTCAATTCAGACACTGAAAAGGCTCCCTTTGGCCCCTCTATCTGCCAAAATTACGATCATTCATTAGTCCTCAAAGAGGTAGATTATGCTTCCAAAAATGTGAGACAGCAGAAGATTGCAGCATTTCTGCAAAAAGGGATAAGTGGGGTGGAGATTCAATAGCACTATTTATTTTGTTCCCTCCAATGCCATGGAAACCCTTTCTAAGGTAGTGAGGAGCACGACTGGGTTGAGAGGAGGTGGAGTGATGGGAAGGCAATCCCCCATGGCATCATCCCCACCAAACCTTAGGTTTTTGCTTCATAAAAGCTAATGGTGATCTTTTTTAGCATTTTCTCATGTGGTTTCTCTCAGCACTATTGGTCTCACTCTAGCAGGAAGCGGAGAAGCCCAATTTCACACGAGACACTCTATGCTGCTTAGGCAGCATTCCCAAGCTCAGCTCACACCAAATGAACTGGCCTAAAAGACAGCCATTTCAAACTCGTTTCTACACAACTATAAACCATGCCTATTTGTATCAAATGGTCTGTGTGATTTTAAAAGAGGAAATGCAATAGAAGTGCCAAGTGCTATTAAAACAGTTACCTTCTTAATCATGGCATTGTAACTTGTCATACGTTTTCATTTCTCAAATGCTTGTACCAATGGATTTCTTGCATTGAAAGTTTTCCTGAACCTAGCAGTCTTTTAGCTATGAGAGTAATTTAGCTGCAAATTTTCAACCATCTGGTACTTCAGACATTTTAATAGCATGCACTTTCTTTCAATTGATGGGGGTGGGTTTTTTAAAAATTATTTACAGACTCTCATACTATACAGTATTCCGGAATGAGGAAAAAGTCTTAAAATTTATTTTACTTCCTTCACACTCATGTCGGATAGAATTTTTGTTTATGTTTGTTGCTCTGGAAATTAAGAGACTCAGACAAATGCAAACACTGGAGCCAATTACTTGTTAGCCCTTATGACGACATCTTCGGGAAACTATACATAAATGGAAGAAGCCAGTTGTAAATTTAGAGGCTGCACTCAGAAGGGTTCTTCAAAAGTTACCTACTTTCACCATAAAAAACTGAAAAGGGAATAAGGTATGGATTATTATTTATAATAAGTAGCATGTTGTTGGAATTTTACACTTACAAGCTGAGAATGTTTCTGAGAAAATTATTCAAAATCAAAAAATATTGTCATTGTACAACAGATGTTACAGATTTCTACTTTGCATCACTGCATGTTTAAGGCAACAAAAATTATACACAGTGTACAATTCAAGATGAAGAATTATAAAACAAATAGGTATCTTAGGGATATTAACTGATTCAACTAAAAATAATCTAATAATTAACAGAACAGAACAGTTCTTTTCTTTTAAAAAATATATACTTCATATTAGCAAAGCTCAAGAATACCTGACAACATGAAAATGTTAACTATGTGAAATGTTTAACACAGATAGAAGATGCTGTTGCAACTGTGCTGCGTAGCCCTGGTTCTCATGTTTTTAAATGAGGTTCATATAACCACTGCATCAATTGCAAGTACAGTGATGACCACAATCACCACTGCCTCGACTGAAACGGTGATGACCACCCGGTTGACTGCAATGGTGCCCACCAGCACCTCGGCTGAAACGGTGAAGACCACCTCGTTGACTGCAATAATACCCACCAGCACCTCGGCTGAAATGGTGAAGACCACCTCGTTGACTGCAATAATACCCACCAGCACCTCGGCTGAAATGGTGAAGACCACCTCGTTGCCTGCAAAGGTGACCACCAGTGCCTCCGCTACAACGCTGACCACCAATACTACTTCTAGTAATAGAACCAGCATTAAGCCAACTAATGAAACAGTCTCTAATAGGGCAGACATAATGAAGCATGGAACTTCACTAGTTACAACCTTAACTCGCATTACCACTGCATCTTTATTTATGCTCATCATTTGGCAGTGACTGTAACTGCTTACTTAATTGTTATAAAAATAGTGATCATTACTTCCTAATCACTGGTTAGACAATTAAGTTCAGGAATCCCAATTCCCTGTCTATCACCAGTCTAACTTCTAGTAACCGGTAGGATTTCAACATGCTTTTCATTATTGTGAGGTTTTAATATTATGGAGCAGTTACAACATTATACCTATGGTTGATAAATTAATGACCATTTTCAAATAAGTACTTTCAGTTTGTAAAACTGTTAAATTTCTCAAATTATCAAAGCACCCAAGCCTTTTATATTAAAATAGGTAGAAAACTGTGACTTTTTCACTAACATAAATCAAAGCTGATTGTCAAATAGAGCTCATACTCCAAATGTATTCTAGATATTGGTATTTTATTATGTAGATCGTAATTTTGTTGAGGTTTCACTAAAAGTGTAATCCTTTGTCAACAATAAGTAATTCTTAATGTGTAACTATGTTAACTACAATAATTTTATTAACATTACTAAAATGATGTAAAAATTAAAAATGAGATGACTGTGTAATACTTGTCTTGGTAATCTGAAAATAACCCTGTATCAAACATTTCTTGAAAACTTCAATATTCGTGAACAAAAATCATTAATTATTTTCATGAATTGTTCCATTATGGTGAAAGACCAAACTTAAAATATCCACAATCCTGGATTTTATTATTAAATAGCTTATGAAACTTGTAGTCTATTATTCACTAGTTAAACTGATTTTCTCCTCACTTCTTCTGCATGCATCACATGCACCACTCTATAGCATACTATGTCCTTTCCTTACAGAAAGGAAGTAACTCAACACTAACAAACATGGATAACATTTTCAAAAGGATCTAAGTTTTACTTAGGAGTCCCAAGTTTTATTTAAAAAAAAAATCCTTATGCATCTAGGAGCATAAGTCTCAGGGACTTTCAATGAGACATAGGTCCTGCGTGCCTAAATCAACACTAAATAGAATTTCGGTATTTTTCAAAAATGTATTACATTGATATGTTTTGTCACCTCATTTTTCTTGAAAATTTTTCTTTTCCAATAAATTCTAAAGAGAAGGAAGTTACTGATATGACTTAATAGTAATGCCATCTATATGCAATGTGGCGTAATTTAATATTTATTGATCTTTCTATTGAGTTTTCATTTCCTAAAGTAAAATATAACATTTCACAACGAACTTTATATATTCTACAGGCATTCCGACACTATGGGATGTATCCTTACAATCTATATTAATCAATTTCTGATCCAGGAAACTGGATGGCCACAAGAGTACAGTCTCACTTCAAATCTCATATGTTCACAAATTCCTGTTTTGTGAGAAGCACATATACCTTTCATATATGAACCTGATGTTTTTGATATTACAGTGGTTATTACAAGACCAGGGAAAATAGAAGTTTTCTTACCGCCGAGCAATGTAGTAAAAAACAGGATTGCCAGCTTTTGACGTCCCAGCTTGGTAGAAAATATTTAATGTTTTCAATGCCTTGAACTCCTCTTTTTCATGTACCTGGTGCCTAGAAATCAGCACAATTACCACATTACATTGATATATCATTTGTTGATGAACAACTAGACAGAAAACTGCATATTTACATTTTTAATTATCTGAACATTTCATTAAATACCGTTAAGCTAATTTTAAATAGTATCTGTTACCATACAGTTTTCCATTTTACTGATCTGACTTAAAAAAAACACCACCACATGGAGATTGTTTTTGAGTGGAAAAGGACTCAAATGTTTTAAATTTCGTTCTACCTCCCTCCCCCCACCCCCTGAAAGATCATGAAGTACTGCTGTATATACATACTCTCAAATTACAAGGCTGATCGCTCAAATTTTTAAAAAGCCCATTTTTCCCAGTTTCAAGTGGCTTTCTCCATTACCTTGTCATAAATTCTTCAAATTTGGAACTGGTGAGATTTAGACTGGACCAGTGTGTGTCTGCCACAGGCTTGTGCTCAGGTGGACCCAGGTAGGCAAGAAGAGTAGCCATTTTGTCGAAAGGTCGCCTTCCAACAGCTTTGTGGTCCCTAAAGAAAATATATTACTGTACTTACCTTTAACATGAATGAACTGCTTGTTAATTCCAATTATTTTTAGGGGGGTAGAAAACATTACATTTTCTACTACAGTGATAGAAATGTAGCTGTGTTAGTCTGGTGTAGCTGAAACAAAATACAGGACTATGTAGCACTTTAAAGACTAACAAGATGGTTTATTAGGTGATGAGCTTTCGTGGGCCAGACCCACTTCCTCAGATCAAATAGTGGAAGAAAACAGTCACAACCATATATACCAAAGGCAGAGGCTGCTCTCATATAAGGTGCCTACCTAAGGAAGAACTATTTCAAGATGACAACTGATAATTGGGGAAGCTATCTTTGTAATGGGTAAGATAATTAGATTGTTTATTCAGACTCAGGTGTAAAGTGTCGAATTTAAGCATGAACAACAGTTCAGAGGATTCTCTTTCAAGTGCAGTCTTAAAAGGCTTTTGAAGCAGGATGCAAGTAATTAAGTCATTGAGACAAAGCTGGCAACGGGGTACCCTTGTACCTTCCCTTGCAACAAACCCTGTTGCAAGGGAACGAAAGTGCCGAAAGTGTCCATCTGCTATGTACATTGGACAAACGTCTCAGACACTTCGCCAAAGGATCAATGCCCACAAAACAGATATCCCCCCCGCATCCCCCTTCTGTTCTGCAATGTGATTTGTCCTTTTCATATGTGTTCATTTTTTTTAATTGTATCCTTTGGTATATATGGTTGTGACTATTTTCTTCCACTATTTGATCTGAGGAAGTGGGTCTGGCCCACGAAAGCTCATCATCTAATAAACCATCTTGTTAGTCTTTAAAGTGCTACATTGTCCTGTTTTTTGTTTCATTTTCTACTACAGTTTTTATTGCAATGTTTAGTCAACAACTACACTTGAACCTCTTTAATCCAGCAATCCTGAGAAACAAGTTATGCCAGATTAAACTATTTTCCAGGCTAGAGATGACAGTGGGGTCTGTGCATGAAGGGCATGGGGGTGGGGCACTTACCCGGCACCCACTCCTGGGGGCACATGCAGCTCTGCACCCCCCACTGATCCAAGGCACCATCCCCTGCTGCTATGGGAGCAATGGGGAAAAGCTTCAGAAGAAGCATGTTGCTGCAATACCATTCCCCTGCTGGCGGAAAAGAGGGGGGTGGCAGCACTCAGAAGCCCTTCCTGCTCCCCCTGACACAGTCTATACCATGGGTGTTCCCTGATTAGAGACACCTGGAGTAAAGAGGTTCAAGTGTATAAGAAATCTATTCATAGTAGAAAGCATAGTTAGGGCACAGATCTCAATATGAATAAGAAACAGGTAAACAACAGATTATGTTAAGTGGATAACAGTAAAAGGAAGAACTGCAATGGAAAGTTATGCAAACTAATGGAGGAAGTTAGAAAATGTTCTTGTAAGAAAAAGATAATGAATGAAAGTCCATCTGCCCATGGCAATCCCCGAGATGCAAATTAAATGATTTATTACTGTGAACTACAATTGCATCAATAACTCCCTCCCACATACTCTTCAGACCTCTTACCTGTTGCTAGAAAGATACTGGCCAATCTTCTCCTGATTGTTCCAGAGTAAACGGTGTAAGGCCAGTACATTGCCATCACTAATGAAGGAGAGACTGTGATTGACAGTGTCACTAGCAGGACAATCGGATGCAATATCAAGAAAAAACCTGATGGGAGAGAGAAAACCAATTGCTCCAATTAGCAGGGTAAAAAAGAAATCAATCCAGCGGGCTGGCAACAGGTCACAGGGCAATGAGAAAGCACTGTTTGCTTGCTTTGTATACCTTTACACAAGGTATGTGATGAAAATGTCACAGGTAAACTACCAGTGTGATTACCTTCGTGCTGCATCAAAGTTGCTTTTTACAAAGTCATTAAAAGACCGCATATGTTCTTCTTTCGTAAACAAGACATGGTTGGCAATACTCTGAAGTATCTAAATAATAAAATAGAAAATGAAATTGTTGAAGGCACACAAAGGTTCTACACATTACACTTTTATGCAGCTGTCCCAATGAAACTTTTCTTCCCACTTTGCCACATTCATCCATTTCTATTTATCCATACAAATCCACAGGATACACAAAAAAGGCTGCTGAAGAACCCAATGGATTTCAATTCAGTAGACTCTGCCCACTGCTCCCATTATGCAAATGGGTCTTTGCTCAGCAAGCTGGAAGAAAAGGGGCATTTGCCCCTTTAAAAGATCCCTTTCACTAGCTGATGAGAAGGAGGACATTTTACAAGAATGGGCAGGAAGGGCATGGGGCAGTTGGGGCCAGGTCAGAACAAGCTCACTGCACTGCCTTTCCTGTAAGCCCAAAGACTAAGGGGGCATTTATTCCTCATCTGCAGCCATGAGATGGGTATTTCTTCCCCCAAACTCCCAGTACTCACACGACTACGCTAATTAGCGATCACTAGTTGAATCAAGTGTACAGGAAGAGAGGTTTTCAATTAGAAAGTGAATTTTGTAAGTGAGTGCACTTAGATGTACTGCTATTTCATCAGCCAAACTTGCAGTGCACTAAGAGGACACTGCATTTAAAAACATCTGACTGGCCGGAGCCAGCTAACATATGCTTGTAGGGATCAAGCTAAGGGGCTCTAACTGCAGCACAGAGATTCGGGCCACAAGCCCATGAGAAAGCTTGCTTTCTATATTTTTACATAAGATGGATAGCAAAGATTTCTCAGGTTAGCTACAGATGCCTCCTAAGTAGGTATATTTAGAGGCCTTGGAGGTGTAGTCAACATTAAAACGTTTTACATGATGCTAAGTTAAGGCACACACATATTGAATTTTCTGGTACATGCAGAACCACTGAAGTTCAAAATCTTCATGAGGCTTTAAAAATAATTTTCAGAAATGACTCAATGAAACTGAAGAGGAACAGAGGGTTGAGTAGTACTATTTTTTAGGCAGCAGTTATCAGCATCTCCTGCTTAATATTTTGTGCCTTAACATCTGAGCTATTAATTTTCAATCCAAACTCTACAGCCCAGTCTAAATTTTGCACAACTGTGCAAGCAAGTCTAATTTTTGACATAGAATTTGAGACTAAAAACAAATATTTTGATGTCTCCCAATAATCTGACTATAAAAGCCATATGCTGTTTGCCCTCTTGTCTATACTGCCTTTTTTAAAAACAAATTTCCCCCTTAAGAACTAGATGGATATAAAGTGTGCACATTAGAATTATGATGTATACCCAAATAGAATGCAGACACTGCAATTAAAATTAGCTGTAAAATTAACAGAACATTAAACATTTCAACCCTGAAGTCCTCGCCACAGTAAACTTAAACTGTGCTAAGTCTCCTCAGAGCTACAGGTTGAACCTCTCTAGTCGAGCACCCTCTGGTCCGGCAACATCCATGCTCCGGCAAGATTTTAGTTATCTGGACGTCCACTTATCATGGGTTCGGTCAAGATTCCCACTGTCCCATAAAGTTTGTTTACAGCCACCAGTCCTGTGTCTCAGTGTCCCGTGCTGTTATTCAGCTATAATTTACTCCTAAATGACTTCTAAGGATCCAGTAAGAAGCAGAAGTGTGGATAATGCTCCTCCAATGGTTCAGTACATTCTCTGGTGAGGTACCAGTCAGGTCCTGAGGATGCTGGACCAGAGAGGTTCAACCTGTATTTAAATAAAGGATTTAATCTGGTTTTAATTCACTAAATACAGTAAATTCAAATAAAAGTACAGAGCCAAACAAATTCAATCCTTCACCTTTGACATTAACTTCAAGCCCCTTTCAATTCTAGGTGGAGGCTTTTTATCTAAAATCCCTGCCTCATAAGGGGAAACAATTGCAGGATTGATGAACCTTAGAAACATGGCGCTTCCAACTGCTCCAATGCTGTTCTGAGGAAACCGCTGGCTGACAACCTAAAAAGTAAAGTCGAGAATTATAAAGACATGGTTTAAATTGAAGTAGAAGAGGAAGGAAAGCTAAAACAAAGGTCCAATTTTAAGTATTTCTCAATCACTCTAGACTATAAATATGACTATTCAGGATTGATGCATTTGAGTAGGAGTGTGTTGATTTGATAATACTGTTTAAGTTCTGAATTATAATGGACTTGGAACCTAAGAATAATAACATCATCATGATAATTAAGTGCAAGAGGAAAAAGGATTTTTAAAGCAGACCATGCCTAATGTTACTGTAAGACTCATAGAACCATCCCCATGTGGGTAAAATTATTTAGTTCAAGTAATTTGTTCAAGAGGCTCTAATTTGTACAAAACCAAGTAGTTAAAAATGACTGTAGGTTGAACCTCTCTACTTCAGCAACATCTGTGGTCCAAAATAATTTTAATTAGCTGGATGTCCACTTGTCATGAGCGGGGTCAAGTTTCCAGCAATCCCATAAAGTTTGTTTACAGCCACCAGTCCTGGCTCTTAGTGTTCTGTGCTGTTACTTAGCTCTAATTTACCCCTAAATGTCTTCTAAGAGCCTAGTAAGAAGTGGAAGTTTTGTTAATGCTGCAAGACAATACTGACCTCCTGTGGTTCAGCAAATTCTCTGGCTAGGCACCAGTCAGGTCCGGAGGGTGCCGGACTAGAGAGGTTCAACTTTGTAAAACATGGGAAGTGTGTTGTCTCTAATTTATCAGGTTTTTAAGATTATGTGCAAAAGCTACTTCATCATTAAAATTTACATTAAAATGATTCTTGGGTACTTTTAACCTTGTTGGAAACAGACTTCTTTGGAACCTGAAAGAAATCTTGATCAAGAGAAATTATCCTGCCATTTCAACAGTTTTGCCAAATGAAATGAAATGGTCAAGAACGGATGAGTTATACTGGTAAAGAGGAATTCTGCTATTGAAGGTTTTTCTTAGCTTGCACACATTTACCCTTCCCTCTTACCAATTTCAGCACCCAGCAATATTATATAAAGTGGGGATAGACTCTGCTGAAAAAGTATAGATTTAGGTATTACTTTTTTTTGAGATCCAGTCCAAAATAATTAGACTATTTTGTAGAACAAGATTATATATATCTATATATAAAGAGAGAGAGAGATTAAGTTTTCCGTATTATCATCTAAAGAATCTTTACATTTAAATAAATAAAAGGCTTGTGAACATAGGGATTGAAAAGAAAGACTTTCTACTGCTTAGAGCACTTCATGGACTGGGTGTTAATTCACCTGAAAAATCTTTGGAATAAGGTCACTGAGATATGCAGCAAATTGAGGAGTATCTTCTAGACCATGGGTGAACAATAATTTTTGATGGGGGGAGCACTCCAAGATTTTGGAAAGTGGTCAAACGCCGCACTCTTCCATGATATTAACGGGGGAGGTGTATAGTCTGGAATGGAGGTTGGGTGCAGAAGGGAACTTGAGGTGAGGGAGTATGGGTGAAAGAGGGTATGGTGATCAGGGGTTCAGGGATTTAGGTTCTGACTTAGGGCAGGAGGGGGTTAGGTTGTGACCTATGGCAGGAGGAGGTACTGAACTGGGGCAAATGGGGCATGGGTTCATGAGGGGGTCAGAGTGTTTGGGTTATGTAGGGGAGGGGGACAGGAGGGGGGGGAAGAGAGTTGTGGGGAGCAAGAGGCTGGGGTGCCAGTGGTATGCTCTGGCTGGGAGACTTACCTGGGTGACTCCTTGCCAATAGCCCAGCACATTGCTTAGGTAATTTCCCTGCCTGCCCCGACCCAGCATAGCTGCAGGGGCCATGCATGTCTGTGAATAACTACAAGCCTGAGGAGAGAGGGAGTGGTGCTTTGCATGCTGCCTATTCTCCAAACAGGCAGCTCCCATTGGCCAGAAACTGGCCAATGGGATTGTGCTGGGGGCAGCGTGTGAAGCCTCTCCCCCTTCTCCTGGCCTCACAGCTGAGACACAAAAACAGCCCAGCAACCACTTTTCTGAGCAGCAAAGGGTGGGGAGCAAGCAGGGAGCCTGCCTGAGGCTTCCCATTGCATCTGGCCCATAGGCTGGATTTTACCCAGCCCTGTTCTAGACTGCTAAATGGAGTACGTGTGCTACTTAGACTTCTGAAATGCCACCTGAGAACACCAGTAAGAATTATACTTTGAGATCTTAGAAAAATCTCCTGTGGGGAGTCTGGTGATAGCTACTTCTGTAGATATGAAAGTTCATGCGCTTCAAACTTTACAGTAATTATTTAAAGCACCTTTCCATAAAATAGCAGGAGAACAGATATACTAATCCGGTCAGCACATATATCAGTAGGTTTTTTGCTTCACATGGGGCTTTTAATACAGCAATAATTTTCCCCAGCTTGATCTATCTTCTCAATATTTAAATGAATGAAACTAAGGATACACAATCCATGAAGAAATTGTACTAAGTACAGATTACATGAAAATTGTTTATAGGTTACAGGAATAAGTTCATTTGGAAAACCAAAGCTGTCATGGATAAACTACAAATAAATATTTAAGACTATAGTTTTACAATTTTTGCTTTATCAAGTTCTATTTAAGGTTCCAAGAAGCAAACAGGGAATGCAATGACTAGATCCAAGAGCATGTGTTTTTTTCCAAATAGTCTGTGTCCTTCTGAATCTTATTGTTTAGAAGAGAAATTAGAAGAGAAATGCAGCAAGAATGTTATTTTAATACAAATCTTGCCTCCGCACGTGTAGGGTTCCAAGGCTCATGAGGATTTAAGCTGTTGTAAATGCAGCTGAAACAACCGCGGTGTAAACCTCACAGCCTAAATTTTGCCATGAATTTTTATAGTGTTAGGTTCTTTAGTTTACTTGTTCTTGATTTCTGAAACACCAAAGACACTGTAGAAAATCCCTTTGGGGTAGTTCAGAGATCGCATTACCTTTTGTCCATGAAAGGTTACTGATGCTTTGTTCTACAAGCAGTGGTCCCTCTAAGCAGGGTGCTTGTGAGGCCACTGAGGAGATGCCAATGCCACCCAGATAATTAGCAGAGCACCTAGACCTAGGTTTGTGCGCCACCAGTAGGAAAAAAGTCACACATACCTTGGTGCACATAAAAAAATTATCCCATGTATGGGAAAAGATTAGAGGGAACATTGCCTACAAGTACATTGAAGAAATGGAGTAGGGGAGAAAGAACAAAAGAATTGTTAGTGTGAAAAAAGTGAATGACAGCACAGATTGAACAGCAGCAGTGTGTGTAGAAGGTGATTGAGAGAGATCTCTAAGAACATCATGAAGCTCAGTAAGCTCTAGGGATGTCATCGTGTAGACAACTACACAATTAAATGATCAGCCTGGGCTTATCAGTTTATCTTGTTGAATGCACACATTCCTCCCCCCCTTTCCCCCGGCCTCTGATACAGAGGCAGCAAGGGGAGGGGGGGGGGAGCCAGTGCCTGGGAGGCTCTAGCTTAAAAGCCAGCTTCCCACAAGCACCAGACCCACCTCTCCCCTACTTGCTGCTGCCTCTGATAGAGAGGCAGCAGTGTGCAGGGTGAGGGGGGCAGGCTGGAGCCAATGCACATGGGGAGGCATCTGTAAGCCAGCTTCTCATGCATATCGACTCCCGCAGACCCGCCTACCCCCCTCTTGCTGCCTTATACAGAGGCAGCATGAGGGGTGGGAGAGGTGGCTTCCTGGTGCCACCTGCTGCCCTCCTCCCTCCATGTTGCTGCCTCTATCAGAGGGAAGAGGCGCCAAAAGGGGCTGCCATGAAGCAGCTTCTGTCCATGACGGGCCCAAGCTCCCCACAAACAGAGGCTGCTCTGCATCCCATGGAGCAGCCTCTGTCTGTGGGGAGCTTAGACCGCCCCTCCCCTCCCCACATGTGGACAGGGTGCTACTGCCACCCTGCGCTGCTGCCTCTATATCAGAGAGGGCAGTGCAGGGTGACAGGGGGCTCCCAGGGAGTAAGACCGGAGCGCACTGGCTGCTGGCCTCACCGCCCAGGGACTATCGAAAAGTTGTGTAACCACTAAGATATGATGCAGTTACACGACTATTCAATTACACAATACTTAACATCCCTAGTAAGCTCACCAGGAAATATACTAGACAGCTAATGATGAAAAAGCAAGCAATAGCTCAGTGACATCTCTGCCTAAAAGAACTTTAAACTGAAATGTAAGTGTCTTTAAAAAAATGAAAAAGGAGTTAAGGGTTAGGATTCAGAGGTGGCAGCAAACCTGCATCATTACAATAATGCTTATGCAGGCTCTGCAGGCCTCAGCATTCATTTTCAAAGGGTAAAAGAACCTAGAAATTCTCTAGAAATAAATTTTGCTGATGAAGAGCCATGATTAATAATGTATGAAAAAATAAACTATAATCTGTTAATCATCTGGGTAATAAATTAAATGAGCTATATTTAAATAAATAGATTATTTGTTGGAGCTTTCAGTTATTGAACCACATTTACCTTTACAAATACCACAAGTACCACCAAGCTTAAAACTTGAGAAATGCCCCCCGAACAAAGATCGATTAAATTTACTGTGTCAAAATAAATGAGTTTTAATTTCAGAGGCAGCACCTTTTAAAGAGCTAGCACAGTCACACCACTGATTGTTTTAGTACCACTATCCATTTGAATATCATAAATTCTGTACTCAAGTTTAAACTTCAGGCAAAAACAGACTTTATCTATCAACAGAAACCTTGTTTGATTTCTGTTAATCGCTATTTACCCCAAAAGCCTTGAAGTATGAAATTTTGCAATATTTTTTAAACTTGAATTTCAATAGTCCCAAATCTCAGTTTTGCTTCAAACATCAAGCATTTATTAGTACCTTTCAGTCTGGCTCTGTCTAGAATGTAGGTTCGATAAAGACTGCTCAATAGCCATCAGGAAAAAGCAATTTTCATGGATCTCAGGGTATGTCTACACTACCCCCCTAGTTCGAACTAGGGGGGTAATGTATGCATACCGAACTTGCTAATGAAGCCCGGGATTTGAATTTCCCGGGCTTCATTAGCATAAAGCCGGCACCGCCATTTTTAAAAGCCGGCTAGTGCGAACCC